GGTCCCATCCGGGGGCAATGGGTGACAACTACCCCTGAAGTATGCTGCTTATGTCCTCAGCTCCACCTCAGATCAACAGACATTAGATTCTTATAAGGAATGTATACCCAGACCCTTCGCATGTGCAATTTACAGAAGGGTTCATGCTCAGATGAGAATCCAGTGCCACCACTGATGTTCAGGTGGTGATGCTGGTGATGGGGAGAGGCTGTAAATAACAGATGAAGCTTCTCTAACTTTCCTGGTGCTCACCTCCTGATGTGTAGCCTGGTTCCTAATAGGCCACAGACCAGTACCAGGGCATGGCCTAGAGACTGGGGACCACAGTCCTAAAGACAATATTGAAATTAGGCCAGGTAGCAACTCTACAATGGCCTTTAAGTAGTCAAGTGAAAGGAGGAGTCACAAGTTTCTCATTTTTAAATCAAAAACTAGAAATAATTAACTTTAGTGAAGAAAGGATTTCACGGGCTGAAAGCTGGGTCTCTTGTACCAAACAATTAGCTAAGCTGGAACAAAAAGAAAATAAAATGTGACATTTCAGTGAACATATGAATGATAAGAAAGTAAAATATCTTTGTTGCTGATGTGGAGAAAATTTTAGTGGTCTGGATAGATCAAATTAGCCACACAATCCCCTGGTTTAAAGCAGAGCATAATACAGAGCAAGGTCCTAACTCTATTTAATTCTCTGAGACCTGAGAGAGGAGAAGGAGCTGCAGAACAAAAGTCTGAATGGCACAGGTTGGTTCATGAGGTTTATGGACAGGTGCCATCTCCATAACATAAAAGTGCACAGTGAAGCAGCAAGTGCCAGAGGAGACATTGTCAGAGTGAATGTCATATCAGTGGTGGCATTAGATTCTCATTTGAGCATGAACCCTATTGTAAATTGCACACGCTGGATCTAGGTTACACATGCCTTATAAGAATCTAATGTCTATTGATCTGAGGACATAAGCAGCATACTTCAGGGGTAATTGTCACCCAGATGGGAGTGTCTAGTGTCTATTGTAGCTTGTGACTTTAGGTTGGAATTAATACTCATTTGCCACTCCAAAAATCCTAGAACCCTTAGGAATTATGCTCAATGCACTCTGCATATTCTCTGTAAAAGGAAAAACAAAGCCTGAATGACAGCACTATCTTTTTATAGCATGGTTTACTGAATATTTCCAGCCTACTGTTGGGCTGCTCAAAAAAGATTTCTTTCAAAATATTATTGTTCATTGACAATATATCAAGTTGTCCAGGAGCTCTGATGGAGATGTACAAGGAGATTAATGTTGTTTTCATGCCTGCTAACACAATATCCATTCTGCAGCCCATGGATCAAGTCTTACTATTTAAGAAATACATTTCGTAAGGCTATAGCTGCCACAGATAGTGATTCTCTGATGGATCTGGGCAAAGTACTTTGTAAACCTTTTCAAAAGCATTCACTATTCTAGATGCCATTAAGAATGCTTATAGAGTCACAAGGGATCAAAAATTCAACATTAACAGGAGTTTGGGGACCGGGCACAGTTCCACAATCATGTCTGTAATTCTAGCAGTCTTAAGGCATCAAGGTGTGAGGATCTTTTCAGTCCAGGGTTAGAGACCAGCCTGGGCACTGGCAAGACCCTGCTTCTTACAGGAGTTTGGGAGAGGTAGATTCCACCCGTCATGGATGACTTTGAGGGGTTTGGACTTTAAGACTTCTGTGGAGGAAGTAGCTGCACATGTGGAGGAAATTGCAAGAGAACTAGAATTAGAAGAGGAGCCTGAAGACGTGACTGAAGTGCTGCAATGTCAGGCTAAAATTTTAACAAAGGAGGAGTTCCTTCTTAGGGATGAGAGAAGAAAGTGGTTTCTTCAGATGGAATCTACTCCTGGTGAAGGTGCTGTGAACTAGGTAACAACAACAACAACAAATTTAGAATATTACATCAACTGATAAAGCAGAGCAGGGTTTGAGAGCATTCACTCCAATTAGGAAAGAAGTTCTGCTCTACAGTGAGTAAAATGCTACCAAATAGTATTGCCTACTACAGAGAAATCTTACATGAAAGGAAGAGTCAACAGATGTGTCAAACTTCATTTCAGTCTAATTTTAAGGAAATGCCACAGCTACTTTAATCTTTAGCAATAACCTTCCCGATTAGAGAGCAGCCATCAACATGGAGGCAAGACTCCCCACTGGCAAAGTGTTATGACTCACTGAAGGCTCAGATGGATGTTAGCACTTTTTAAACAAGAAATTATTTTTAAATTAAGGATAAATACATTGTATTTTTTGTATATCATGCTTCTATACACTTCACAGACTACAGTACAGTATAAATGGAACTTTTATATGCACTGGGAAATCAAAACATTCACTGCAGTATCTGAAACGGAAATCAAAACATTCACTGCAGTATCTGAAACCAAACCCACAATACTGAGTTATGCTTGTTCTTGGCTTCTAAATTATACCTGCCATGCTTATTTGTCTTTTTGGGCTCAAAAGTTTTTACTATAAAACTTGTAAATAATCATAAAAATATGAGAAATAAAATTTTACTCTGGATTAGAAGTATAAATATCTTTGGCTTATTAGTGACATAGTTATAAATAGAATGAAATTAATAAGTATACTGGCCTTTATTTTTAACATAATGTGGATGGCAGATATTAAATTAAAGCTATCTGCCACAGGTATATACCATGGGTTAAAAAAACAACTGGACCTCAAAGTAAGACATTTGTGGACAAGATAAAAAAGGAAATCTTAAAGAAAGAAATTTGATTTGGTTTTCTGTATTCATATTCTGTATTTTGTATTAACTTGGTTTTCTGTATTCATAGTTTCCACATTCAAAAGCTCAACTAACCCTGGACTGAATATAATTAGAAAAAAATGATAATGCAAAATAATAAGACAACAATAAAAAATAAACATATATATATAAACCCCAGTAAATCTCTATTTACAGAGCATTTACAATGCATTCTATATTATAAGTAATTTACGGATGATATAAAGGGTAAGCAAGGATATGCATGAGTTATATGCAAATAGTATGGCTTTTTATATTATAAGGGACTTTTACACCTTTGGTCCTGGAACCAAACCCCTGCAGATACCAAAGTAGAAATGTACCTTTCTTATGGAGAAAGATGGTTTATGAGAACTATGTGTACTAAGTAACCAAAGTTCAATTTTTAGTAGTTTTTTAAAAATACCAACGAGGTAGTAACGTATCATAAGAATGGAAAAGTAAGTATCCAATGTATTTGATACTAATATGAAGCCAGTAAATGAACTAATACACACCCACAGAAGAGAAAATTCAATTTAATTCAAGCTGGGGGAAGAAGTGAGCTGGGAGGGGAGATGGGAGGGGAAGTTGTGTGTTCCAACCTAATGGGTACAATGTAAGGGTATATGGCACACTTTCTGGGTACCAGACACAACTACAACAGGGACCTCACCTAACAAATGCAAACTTTGTATCCTTGTATTAATCTGAAATAATAAAAAAATACATATTTGATGGAAAAACACTTAAGAGGCTTGTATCAGACTAAAAATATTTAAATAATGTTTAGAAAATAATTCTGGGAAAAAAGTTTTTGAGATAGCACCTTAATAAAAGCACATAGAAGGTTGTAAGAAAGAATTTTCAGCTCTTGATAGGTGTTATACTAAATTGGTTTGCTGAAGGAAGCTGTGGACGCTATTTCTTTGAAGATTCTTATAAACAGAAGGCATTTATTAACAGCAGTTTGGAAAGCTTTTGGTGTGTCTCTGCCAGAAGGCAGTCAGTAGATAACCACTTCATGGTTCTATAAAACCCACTGACTGCATAATAATACTATTGTTATAACTGTGAGGCAAGGGCAACACAGCTGCTTTTTCTTTGGTGATCAGGATTTGCTGTCCAAAAAGTTGCAGAATAAATTGAATGTAATTAGATGAAATTTTCCCCAACAGAAAAGCAAGAATTAATTTTGACTCTAGTTACTGAAAGAAAACTCAGAATCTCTGTACTGGGCTATTTAAAGATTTAAGGTCTCCTTAACTTATAGAAAACCGTACTCTTATGTGAAAATTAAAAATCAGACATGTTTGCTTAAAAGACCTTAGACTAATGAGTTGAAGTAACACTAAATAAAAAATTCTGAGCATATCCACAGTTTCTTTGTACAAAATCCTTTGAAAAATTTAATTTTATTAAATTCTAAATTTTTCAAAGTTTACTTTTATTTCACTTTATTTTTATCTGCTTAAGTCTTTATTTTTCATAAGTGTAAAGAATGCAGATTCCTTTCAATTTTTTTTCTTTTAAATATGGTCAATTTCTTCCTAAGCAAATTTTTCTTTTAAAGATAATATAATTAACTTCACCTTTGAATGTGGCACTGTGGTCCACAGTCCTTGCCCCACTGCTCTTCCAGAAGCAATAGGAGCTATCATGAAATAAGCTAAAAGTTTAATAAATCCCCCAATGGAGGATTTTTATAAAATATAAAGCTGAAAAGGATATAAAGTCTTTCCAAGATTTTGGAGTACTTAGATGAGTTGTTAAAAATAAGAGAGAAAAGCATGCTAGAACTATTTAAAGTAAAAAATAAAGATTAGTAAACAGCACAGATGAGTCTCAAATAAATATAATTCTAATTTCCAAATCTATTTAGCATTTGCAGTTATGTGGTATATGTGTCCAAGACAGATATAAAAAGCTTAATTCCTATTTTCCTATTATTTGAATCCTTATTTTTTATTTAGCGATTTATGATTTAACATAGCCTTATTCTATATAATACTCAAGGCAAAGACAAAAGCATCTTACTGTTATTTCTGATATGTAATAGTGCTAAAAGAAAAAAGTAACAGAAATAAATATCTTGACTTACATAAATATCTCTATTAATGAGAGCTTTTCAATTTTTCATTAGGACCCAAGATAATTCCATTTGGTTCTGCACAGTTAATATCAGAAAACTAATAGCACAAACATTTCATTGCTTGCCTCCACAAAATTGTTGACGTCCTCTGTTGCCATCTGCCAAGGTGGACATTCCTCTGTGTTTGATGGAACTAGAGAAGCATCAAGGTTCTATGAATTGATGAAGGAAAATATTCTGTGCTCTTGGTTTCTGGTATTATTTCCTTGGTCCTGTTAAAAAGGAAACCAGGGTGAACTTAACAATTTTAAACACATAGCCAGTTATTCTATACTTTATAAGGTTTATATTTAAGAAAATTGTGAAATTTTTATGTGGTCTCCCACTTAAAATCATAGAATTTTGTAGGGGGAGGGGCAAGATGGCTGACAGGTACCAGCCTCCAACAGAAGCTCCCATCCAGAGAGAAGAATAAAGTCCAGAAAATACCCAACACTAGGAGCCCAGCCAAGAGAGAAGAGTGATATATGCAGGACACCTCTCCTGAGGCAAGTTGCGACTCCTAGAAAGCAATCTACAGGTACAAAATACATCCCAAAGGAAGGGTGTCCATCCCCTCCCCCAAGAAAGTTGTGTTTTTCTCTTTGTTTTCTCTTCATCTGCTCTTGAGTTTCCTACAGGCGGGTGGTGAACTGAGGTATTGTCTCACCCCATGTGTGAGAGCTACAGAAAGTGGGGTCTACTCCCCTAGTGGGACCCTGCTGAGACTCCGAGTACCCTCTCACCAGGCAGAAAAATCGAACAAATGTTTCACTGCCATTTTGAATTCCCAGTCCACCCTTCCTCCCTTGCCTGCAGAGACAGTAAGAGGAGGCCCAAGAGCAGTGTTCCCCCTACCCCTGCGGGACCAAGCGCCCTGTCCCAGACATGCAGCTGGAGAATTGCTTGAGCTGGGCCCTGTGGGGTCCTCTGCATGGCTGCTGGCGCTCAGCCGCCACTCAGGGCACTGGAGCTGGAGCCCCGAAGACTGATCAACCCAAGCGTTCCTGGCACCACAGGCCTGGCTGCCCAAGAACTGCGGTATGAGTCAGTTGAGAAGGAACCACACTGGAGCTGTGGTACCCTAAGGCGAAGAGCAGCAGCTGCAACAGCTAGAACAATAAGGCTCACGCCTCAGAGGCTTTTCCAGATAGACATGCACTATCTCTCCAAGCAACCAGAGGAAGCCAGCATCTTCTCCAGTGGCAGCCACTGGATGAATGTTTTTGGGATGGTCTTCAAACAGGGCAAATTCAGCACGGGGTGGAATCAGCAGAAAAACTCTGGTAACCTGAATAACCAGAGTAGATCACTTCCCCAAGGAAGGATGGGGCAGATGCAATTGAAGATCCCATCCATAAACAGATGGGTAAGAGGACAGAAATCAAGCTCAGAATCTGGACAGCAAATAAGATTAACAGAATGGAGAAAAGGAGGGAATTAGAATTTCAAATTATTCAAAAGCTGTCTCAAGAATTCAATGATTTCAAAGATAAAATGACCAAAGATTATGACACACGGAGGCAAAAGATTGCATCCCTTAAAGATCTGAAAAATATGGTAGAATCCCTTGGTAACAGAATGGAGAAGGCAGAAGAAAGGATCTCTAACATTGAAGACAAAGCTTTTGAACATGCCCAAGTGCTCAAGGATGAAGAGAAATGAAGAGCATTTCATTCTCTCAGAGAGCTCTGGGATAATCTGAAGAAAACTAGTATTCATCTTATAGGAATCCCTGAAGGTGACAAAGTTGCTTCACTAAACAAAGAGGCTCCTCTTCATGAAATTATAAAAGAGAACTTTCCAGACATGCCAAGAGATTCTAAAATTCAGATAGCAGACAGTTTCAGAACCCCAGCACGACTCAACCTAAACAAGACATCCCCCAGGCACATCATAATTAACTTCACTAAAGTTAATATGAAAGAAAATTCTGAAAGCAGCTAGATGTAAGAAAACCATAACCTACAAGGGGAAGATATTAGAATGACTGCAGATCTGTCTTCTGAAAACTTTCAAGCTAGAAGAGGGTGGTAATTGACTTTTAATCTCCTAAAACAAAATAACTGTCAACCCAGGATCCTGTATCCACCTAAACTGAGTTTCATTTATGATGGAGAAATTAAATACTTTAATGATATTCACATGGTGAAGAAATTTGCCATAACTAAAGCAGCCCTTCAGGATATTCTCAGACCTATTCTCCATAATGACTAGAGCAATCCTCCACCACATAAGTAAACTCACACAGAAAATTTTCAAATTCCAACTTCCACAATGGCAAAAGGATTAAAGATGTCCACTGGAGTTTCAAAAAACTCGATACCCAAAATTATTCCAGGCTTATCAATATTCTCAATCAATGTGAATGGCTTAAATTGTCCTCTAAAGAGGCACAGTCTGGCTGACTAGATATAAAAACTCAGGCCAGATATCTGCTGCATACAAGAATCTCATCTTACCTTAAAAGACAAATATAGACTCAGGGCAAAGGGATGGTCATATATATTCTAGGCAAATGGAAAACAGAAAAAAGCAAGTGTTGCAACTTTATTCACAGATACAATAGGCTTTAAACCAACAAAAGCAAGCAAGGATAAGGATGGTCACTTTATATTTATTTGTTAAGGGTAATACTCAATACGATGAGATTTCAATTATCAATATTTATGTACCCAACCAGAATGCACCTCAACTTATAAGAGATACTGTAATAGACATGAACAACTTGATTTCTCCCAGCTCCATTATAGTTGGAGATTTTAATACTCCTTTGGCAGTGTTGGATAGATCCTCCAACAAGAAGGTTAGCAAAGAAATTCTAGATTTAAACTTAACCATTCAGCATTTAGATTTAACAGACATCTACATAACATTTCATCCTAACAAAACTGAATACACAATTTTCTCATCAGCCCACGGAACATACTCCAAAATTGACCACAGTTTAGGTCACAAGTCTAACCTCAGCAAATTTAAAAGAATAGAAATTATTCCTTGCATCTTCTGAGACCATCATGGAATAAAAGTTGAACTCAACAACAAGAATCTGCAGACTCATACAAAAACAAGGAAGCTAAATAACCTTATGCTGAATGATAGGTGAATCAGAGATGAGATCACGAAGGAAATTACCGAATTTTTGGAACAAAATGATAATGAAGATATGAATTATCAGAACCTCTGGGATACTGCAAAGGCAGTCCTAAGAGGGAAATTTATAGCACTGCAAGCCTTCCTCAAGAAAATGGAAAGAGAGGAAGTTAACAACTTAATGGGACATCTCAAGCAACTGGAAAAGGAAGAACACTCCAATCCCAAATCCAGCA